GGCAAAAAAAAAAAAAAAAAAAACATAGGCTTCTATTTTCTTCCTTTCATACTACATTCTATCATGTTCGTGAAGGTCATTTACACGACCAATTAATTTTTTTCTTTCTTGTTTTATAGGACGAGTCGACAACGAACAGTTAATTCAAACGGTTAGAGTCTGACTGACGTGGCTAGGCTTGAGGGCTGGCAGAGTGAAGGTACTGTACTGTAGTAGGTAGAGGGTGAAAGAATACAGTATTCCCACACTCGTTTCAGAAGGAGTTTTAAGGGAATAGTGTCAACCAAAGTGAGATGATGAAGAAGAACGAGAACACTAATAACAACAAGAATAACAATAACAACAAGAATAACAATAACAACAAGAATAACAATAACAACAAGAATAACAATAACAACAAGAACAACAATAACAACAAGAATAACAATAACAACAAGAATAACAATAACAACAAGAATAACAATAACAACAAGAATAACAATAACAACAAGAATAACAATAACAACAAGAATAACAATAACAACAAGAATAACAATAACAACAAGAATAACAATAACAACAAGAATAACAATAACAACAAGAATAACAATAACAACAAGAATAACAATAACAACAAGAATAACAATAACAACAACAACATCACTGAATATTAACACAAAGAAGAAGAAAAGGAACAATAACAAGAAGAAAGAAGAAGGCCAGTGAATAATAAAGACAAAATAGGAAACAGGTGACAAACAGCAGTGAATGTTAATGAAGGTCTCTATTATCACACCTTACCAGCATAAAAACAATGTACAGACTTTCCTCCCGAGTCACAGTTTCACCTCAGCTTCGATCAGAATGGACATTTTCCAAACTCTGACAAAAAAGTCCACAGAAAAGTAAACCTAACCGTAACCTAATCTAATCTAATCTAACCTAACCTAACCTAACCTAGTCAACGTTCATGGGCATAGTATTGACAGCAATTCGTTACGCCTTGCCAGAGCTCTTCAACTCTGTGAAGAACCTATTTACTTCAACCCTTACTATTGATAACTGTAAACACATAACACCTAAAGACCGAAAAATTAAAGTACTGATAGACTTACCTCAGATACTGATAGTTAACTGCGTGAAGAGGTGGAGAGAGTGTCCTGTATGGCAGCACACACACACACACACCATCAACGGCTGAGTCACGACGACTGAGAAAGGTGTTGCTTGTTAGTCTTCTCGCCTTGTTGACGTTGGGTATGTTGCTACTGTGTTTCGGCTGTTAAGGTCTTTAAGCACGTAACAAGGGTAGTAATTACACTAGTTCATCAATAAATGACTAGTGTAAAGATAGAACTTTATACAGTAACTCTTCTTCCTTGTGTGAATCAGAATCCGGAACAGTTCGAAACACGATTTGAATACCTATGAAACACATCTCATGACTACTGTAGATATTATCCAAAGTAACATGGAATATGAAATGTTTCAGCTTAAAATTTAATGGTGACTTCAAGCATCAAAAGAGCTTGAAATAAGATTAAACCAAGGTTGAGATGTGATTTATTAGAGCTTCATATATCATTCGAAACAGCTCGAAGTATTTGACCCCCACCCCTCCCATAGCTTCAAGGAAACGGCAGATGTGAATAAATTTTCTTTTATTGCGAGGTTTTATTTATCACCACCATCATCACCATCATCATCATCACCACTACCACCACCATCATCACCATCATCATCACCACTACCACCACCACTACCATCACCATCATCATCACCACTACCACCACCTTCATCATCATCATCACCAACACTACCACCACCATCATCACCAACACTACCACCACCTTCATCATCATCATCACCAACACTACCACCACCATCATCACCAACACTACCACCACCTTCATCATCATCATCACCACCATCATCACCAACACTACCACTTCATCATCATCATCACCATCATCACCAACACTACACCTTCATCATCATCATCACCAACACACCCTACCTCACCAACTACCATCATCTACCACCATCATAACCAACACTACCACCACCACCTTCATCATCATCACTACCACTACCACACTCATCATCATCACCAACACTCATCACCAACCTACACCACCTTCCATCATCACCAACACCATCTCCATCATCATGTATGTAAACATCGCCTCCCTTGTCTATATAGTGTCTCCCTCCCTCCCTCCTCCTCTCTTCCTCAGGCACATAAATAATGTTCCTCCTTCTCCTCCTTACCTCCGTTCTCTCCTCACAGTCCTTACCTTCCCTTTATTACATCCCATCCATCCTCTCCTCCCCCCATCCTCTACTATACCACTGCTATCATTCCCATCCCTTCACTCTATCCCTTCATCCCTCCCCCTCTTCCTTTCTCCCCCTCCCACCCTCCCTTCGCCCCATCACCCTCTCAGTTCCATAGTGAAATTCCCTGGAGGATTATAACCCGGATGTTCCCCTTTAAACGCGTGTTGTGTTGTAGGGATGGGAGCGGCGCCATTACAACCAACAAATCACTAACAATAACAACTTCTCGCTGGTTCTCTTCTTGGCATTTTCTATAACTTTCTCTTTCTCTCTTCCTCTACTTTATCATCCTCAGGTGTACTGTTATCTGTCCTCCATTGAGTGTGGGTGATATACTGAGGTAATAGACTTTATTGAAGAGCATATTGAGACTCGAAATATTCAGTTAATTTATTATTTTTTTTTTCATACGAGTCTGAACAATTTCGTAGCTGTCCTGAATCTGTTGCCACTGTTCATAAAGTATAGAGAACTGTTTTTTTTTTTCATTAGTATTTGAGGAACATTTGCTCTCTTATGAATGTCGTTGTTGTTCTCTGGGGTCTTATTCTATCTTTTAACCCTTTGAGGACGATTACTTAACCCTTTGAATATGATGATTTAACACTTTCATGATGATGATGATGATTTAATCCTTCAGGACTCAAAGATTTAACACCACCTTAAAGACGCTTTCAGGATTACATACCAATTAACCCCTCCCAGCTGTGGGGAGGGGGGAGGGGTGTAATCTTCATGTTATCCCACCTCCCTAACCTTAACCCTTCACTGGTCAAATCTCTAGTGGTGACCAGGCTCTGACAGTGATGGCGAAGCTCCCACAGTGGTGCCATGGTCTATGTATGTATATTAAAGAGCGTCGTAAAATATAACTCTCTCTACGCTCAGAGCCACGTAGGATCAAGGAGGATCGAGAGGATCGAGTCGAGTTAGATGGTATCCAATCCTCTATCACACACACATTCTCTCAACAAAGCTCCTGTGTGACAAAAGAGCATCGCATCTATGGTATTGTGAGCTATAGACACTACAAATAACTTCCTGGAGGTTATAGTAAGCGTGGTTTAGTGATGGTAACCTCAGCATGTGATCTGTTCTTACAAATACTTCACGTCTCATATCAAGTTACAGTTATATGATACCTAGTGTTGTATTATTCTTATTTCATTCACTTCATCCCTTAAGACTTTCATCTACACACACTTTATACTTATACCGGATCATACTTAAAACCGGTATCACTTTATTTTAGGTATTAAGTGTCGTTATTATATCTGACACTTAAAAACTTAAATACATAACTTTACTACAAATGGTAACTAAAGTATTACCATAAGACACCAGATCATTCTATTATTGCATGCATACATACATACATATCCCGCAATTGAGGTTCGAACCCCTAACCCACCTTCCAAGTCACTAGGATCAGGTTCACAGCTCGGTGGCCCAGTTGATCCAGGTTGGGGTATAGTGACTGGCTGGCTGGCTCGCTCGCTCCCCGCTGATGACAATATAATCGACGCGGACCAAAGCCCTCATCCTCAAACACTAGTACCTGTTTAAGAGAACGTATCCACTTACGATAGCTATTTTTTTTATTAGATTATGTTAGATACGTAAAGCTGTTAAATGTAGCTTAAAACACCTGGGAAGAGACTTGCTAGTATAAACACTAGCTCCAAAAAAAGTATCTTTACGATTTTTTTTTTGAGATATGACAACGGACGAATGATTTTGACAACCTTACTGAGACAACAGGAGTCGTGGTGTTCATTTGGACATTTATCGGACACCGCTGTAAAGGTAGTTTCTTGGGTGTGTTGTACTTCCTTTAATATTAATAGTTCAATTGTAGGTCTTTTGTTTTTCTTTTGTTGTGGTAATGAAGAATTCTTATAAAATGATTCTTACGTAATCCTGAAAATGAATGAATGTCCAAGTTTTTCAATCTTGGTATCGTCAATAAATCTTGGGTTAGTTTAAAAAGAATTCAATAATCAACTTTTAAATCTTGTAACATCACCAAATCATAAATAATTTGATACTATCTTTATTTTCACTCTAGTATCATCAATGAATCATGAATAGCTTAGATGATAGTAGTAATAATAGTAGTAGTAGTAGTAATAGTATTAGGTTGGTTGGTGTAATAGTAATAGTAGTAGGTGTAAATAGGATATCCAGAAAGCCGAGGCAATCATTTGTAACATTTATTATCGAAAATATAGTAACATTTTTCCATATGAACGGCAGGAGGGGCACAAGGATCTCATACAAACTGGTTTCAACAACTATAAAGTCAAAAGAAAAGAGAAAACAAAATTTTTCGAAAATAATGAATTAAAATAATGAGGAAGGGGGGGAGGAGGGTGTATGAGGTAGGGGCTAGGCTGAGGAAAGAATGATTAGGAAGTACTATGATAATGAAGAGAAATAAATGAGAGAATAATCAGGTAGGGAGAGATAAATGGAGGATAGAGAGAGTAAACTAACACTTTAGAAAAAGACATCAAAACAATTAAAAACGATTGTAAACAAGAAAGGCAATTTAATCACAGAAAATGGTGAGATGAAAGAAAACGGAAAATAAGAAAGAAAACGATTCAGACAAACGATAATAATAATAATAATAGTGACACTAATTAAATAAATAGGGAGGTTAAAGGAGAAATTAACAATAAAACTTGTCTTGTTTATTGCATTACAATATAAACCTAAAGAAAATAGGAAGATTCAATAATAATAAATGATATACTAATTACAGTAACTCATGTTAAAATAATAATCATATTAAGGAGAGTCATCATAACGATAGTCCTAGTTAAATAGAGCAATAACATTAACAGTGATTACTATTACAAAAAACTATTCTCTTTTTCTATTATTTTTTTGTTGTTTCTTCTTTCTTCTGTATCATATAATCAGTTCAAAATAGAAGACATCGTATTTCTCACTCTTTCTCTCTCTGGGAAATGATAAATTAGCAAATTGGTTGACAGAAAAAAAAATCTTTAAAATTTCTGACAACCATTATGCTAAATGAACAGCTGGGCAGAATAGTACATTGGGCCAAAAAAAAATCAGTTAAAAATACAAAGAGACTACAGTTAGTGCCTTTTTTTTAAAGATATAAAATATTCTTTCACTCAAGATGTTTTTTAGTCTTGTTGAAAACGAGTCTAGTAACAAAAACAATAATAATAATCTTGTATCCTTTGTGGGGTCATTTAACTTTTTTGGACATTACATTTAATCAAGGTGTATTACATTTGATCAGTCAGCTTTAAAATAACCACTGATCAACTTAATACATTTTCACTCAACATTGATCAAAGTGCAGTAGTACTGTATATACATTTGTCAAATACTGATCATAGTATACATTTCTATCAGCTGGTTTAAAAAAAAATTATATATATATATACTGTATATACATCAAATGTGTTTTATTTGCTTTTATTTTAGTTATTTTTTTGGCCTCACGACTATCCTTCCCGACTGTTAAGAGGTTTTCGTTTTACATATTGACCAAAAATTCGGTATTGCTAAGACTGAGGAGAACATTTGGAAGCTGTCGAGTGAATGACGTGGTGGGTTGGCGGATGGATGGATGAGTGTATACAGAAGAAAAGTGGATGGAGAATTCGACTTTTTTGTTTTGTTTTTTGTTTTTTTTTTGTTTTAAATATAGAGAAAATCCAGCAGCTTGGTTTAAGTATAATAATAAAAAAGGGGGATGGTTTATATTTTCTCTTTACAAAGCACCGTCGTTCTTTTTTTAACTTCTGTGTATCCATAACAATAGTGGTAGTGGTGGTTGTTGTGTTGATGATGTTAAGTGTACTATATGACTTTTTTTTAATAACCACTAGCAGTGATTTGTACTATAACACCGCCAGCAGTAATTATTGTACCATAACAGCCAGCAGTGTTTAAGTGAACCTACAATACCACCACACTGTCAACACCCAAAAGTTTATAAAAAATCACTACACTACAAATTATTTCTTCCTACCTTAGATGTAATAGTATATAAAAAAGTGCACTACCTAATTCGGCTTTTCTGTTAAATACAATATCAAAAAAGGAATGAAATCTTCACCCGAGTTTTGTGTTTGTGTATGTGTGTGTGTGTGTGTGTGTGTTTCAAAACATTTGTTAAAATGGCAAACCAACCTTTTTTTTTACCCAAATATAGTCGACTTTGTTTATTTTACCCTCTGTTTACTTTTGACTGTAAACAACTCCTCTCCCCCCCTCCCCATACTTTTAATGGACCCTTGAAGAAAAAAATACATTGATAAAAAAAAAGTTGGTTAACGTGACGATGAAAAGCCAATTTAAATAACAAAAACTAATCCATTACCAATCCTATACCTCAACAATACCCAATCACCATCATACTCTGGCAAGACTGGCTAATCTTTCCACCCTATAGTTATTAATGCAATGTGTGTGTGAACAAAATCATGGTTGTGACACTTGTGTTTTTGAGAGACGACGATACTGGCTGGAGGGGCGTTAGTTCATCAGATCACTGACTTAGGTAATTGTGTGTTATGAGGTTATCATCTATAGACTGACTTTGTGTGTTTAAGGGGGAATTATCTATAGTAAATACTGACTGGTAAGGGAGGGGGTGAAGGTGGGGGGTGAAGGTGGGGGTGGAAGGAGGAAAATACTGACTTGTGAAATTGTGAATCTGTTTACAAAATACTGTTTGGTGTGTGTGTGTGTGTGTGTGTGTGTGTGTAGTAAGTAGTAGTAGCAGTAGTGTGTGTGTAAATCCTCTACAATAAAACCAACCATGGAGGCCGGTGACACTACCATGGCTAGGTGAGTGGACAGGTATGAGGGTGAGGGATAGACAGGCGAGAGGGTGGATGGACAGGTGGGAGGTTGACAGGTGGGTGGTTGACAGGTGGGTGGTGGACAGGTAACCATACATGTTGCTGTGGCCAAGTCAGTTAAGTCAGTTTGAGAAAAGTGTCAAAAATACTATTCATAGCCATGTGTATGTATACTACACATACCCATCATGTGATATATACACACTCTAATATATATAATTTATATATATTTATATATTTATATACTCTCTTGTATGAGCGTGGATGAAAACTACACTTACATAAAACCTTACTTACAGCTTCCATAAAATACACAAAGAAAAATGATTGATGTCAAGGCACTGACGGCTACAGTCGTCCCCCACACATGTATAACATATGCGGCGGCTGGTTATGGAGACCACAGGTTCCACTCCTCCAAGAATTGTGCGAATATCTTATAGTTCCTATATTTTTTGTATCAAAGCGTCAACGAATATATTGTTTGAGGGGGAGGTGAAGGATGAGAGGAGAGTTTGTTAAGGGAGGAGGGAGGGGATGGAGGAGAGAAGACCTGGAGAATAGGGGTCACAGGAGGGGGGTTGGGGGAGAGAAGGTCAGAGGGGTCAAGAAGTTACTTAGGTCAAGTGAGAATCGGCCAACTCCTTGACCCCGGCTGACCCGGTCATTTGAGCGTTGATATGAACAATGTTACTCGAGGGACCAGTAACTGTGTACAGTACAGCAGTGTTCACTAGTTAATAACACGCACACATTGGCCGCTTTGAGTTACATGTTAAAAATATATTAGGTTTCTTTTTTCAACGAAGAAAAAAAAGTTCATCTGATACATAAGAAATTATATAAAAATTTTGTACATAGTCCATTCCGTATAATTTTAAGCTATGTCTGTTAATTTCGGCTTGAAGCAATTTACACATGAGAAGCCAGACTTCCTGCAGAACCTGGAAGGTGAAGCCAGACCTCCTGCAGGACCTGGAAGGTGAAGCCAGACCTCCTGTAGGACCTGGAAGGTGAAGCCAGACCTCCTGTAGGACCTGGAAGGTGAAGCCAGACCTCCTGCAGGACCGGGAAGGTGAACATCAACACATCACATGGACTGCCTCCAGCCTCAACACGCTGTGTGTCTGGTGTCATGACTGGAGTGTCCACCAAGGCCCTGAAGGTCCCGGAACACCTGGTGTTGTAGCTAAAGGTCCTGCAAACACCTGATGTTTTGGCTTGAGTGTTCCAGGGTCCTTCGGCGTTACCGAAGGTGAAGAAACACCCTACATAAGCCAGGTGGAGGAGGCGTCCTGCCAGGTCCTGGGAGGTGTTGGCTCTCAGAAGGCGTCAGCGGTAACTGAAGGAGATGCTGCTATACACGTTGAGCTTACGACCAACAACACCGAGGTACGACACACACAAGGCTGTCAGTCTGTCCTTCTAAAAACAACTGTGTCTGTTTCCAGAAGGAGAAAAGAAAAAAAATCACCAACGATGCTTTTTAATATTTTCTTCATATCTGTTATGAAAATACTGCGAGATCTATATCACTTTTTTAATTTGAATAGTTTTTTGTTTTGCTGAATAAATATCATTTTTGAAGTTCCAACTTTTTGGAGCGTTGTTTGTCCTGGCAACTGAGTTTGTACGAGCCGAGTCGAGAAGCCTTCAACACATCTCCACACACTGGCTACACGTCCACTGCTGAACACACCGGCTGTCAGAGGCCAACTTGTGGCAGCCTTCACCACACATTTCCAAAAAAACTTGTCTTTAATATATCTTCCTTAAAAATAAAGATATTTTTTCCTGTGAATGAAGCGTCGGGCAGGCGGGCGTGGGGAAGGCGGGGAGCCGCCCACCACCACCACCGCCGCCAGCCGCCGAGGTTCCCCGAAAGAAGCGAGATCACTCGTCGAGAAAATTTGTACCTGGGAGTTTGGATTATGGCAAGGAGGCGACAGGCTGGTGCTGTGTCCCCTGCCGTGTGTGGCGCCCCACGCCCTCCCCAAGGGCACCCCGGGGCACCTGTGGGGCCCACCAAGGGGAGGCTCACCTTTGGCACTTGGATGGGGCCATCGCCGCCGAGGTTGCTCAGGTGGGGAGGTTAGACCTCTCCTCTCCTTCCTTCTTCTCTTCCTCCTCTTCCACCTCCCCTCCTTCCCCCTCGTCCCTCTCCTCCTCCTCTGGTAGCGCCCCCCCATGCTGGTGGGGGCGGCAGGGTGAAACCAGCCCCTGGGAAGGGGCAGTGGCCACTGCCTGCAGACCCGCGGGCGGCGTGGAGGGCGGCTGCGGCGACTCGATGGCGAGCCTTGGGAAGCCGCCGGCGGGCGTGGAGGCAGCGGGGGTCAGTCCTCAGGAGAAGCGGTCAAACTCGATGCCCGAGTCTGGGGAGGTGCGCGCGGGGGTGAGGAAATGGAGGTGGCGGCAGCGGCACTCCGACACACACTGGCACTTGTGGGGGGACAGGTTCAGCTGTTGCTGGAAGTCCTGCAGCTGACCCATGAAGTTGAAGTTGGGAGCGATGTTGGCCTTCTTGACGCGCACGTACTCGTAGGCCTCCTCCAGGTTGAGCTTCTCCTTGTACATGAGGTAGGCGACGGTGATGGTGACGGAGCGGGAGATGCCAGCCAGGCAGTGGACCAACACACCCACGCCTGACTCACGCGCCTCCTCTGTAACACAACACAACAAACGTTAGGTACTTCACATACACATACACATACACACACACACACACACACACACACACACACCACAAACACTTATCATATAACAAACAATAAATAATTAATGCAGTACAGATATTTGATCCCACCAATGAACATCAACAAACTCCTAAAAACACTCTAAAAAAATCAATGAACGTAAAAGTCAAATTGTTAATGTTAAAACGAGGAGGCTTGAAGACGCCCACAACACGCACACACTAACACAGTCTTGGCTAACAAACACCAAAAGAAAAAAAACGCAATATGCCAATGACGTCACATCCGGCTCTCGTTTGCGGGCGAAATTGACGCAAGCCACAGCGGTGTACCCTCGACCGTGATGCTTGGAGGGAGGGATGGGGGTTGAGGTACAGAAGGGTGGAGGAGGCGGATGAGGAGGCAAAAAATGAAGAGGGTAAAGGAGAGTAAATAAAAAAGAGGAAGGATAGTACAGTAATTGTGGTAGTAGACCTCCAGATTTAAACTATAAGCCTATCATTTTATTTTTTTCAGTCAATTACCCTATCACAACAGACTAGCAAAAACTGATGACACGAAGGGGTGGAAAATAATCTCAGTGATGTGATGGCGCCACAGTACATATACACAGACGCGCGCCGCCCGCCCCCGAGGTCGCTAAACTCCAGCTACCAACCCTGCGCAGCTACCCCCCCCCTCTCTCTCTCTCCAAAATTCCCGCTTAAACCTCTCTCTCTCTCTCTCTTTCTACCACTTTGGGTCTTGGCCAACACCGGACAGGCAAGACTGTTACTAACGCTACTGTTAAGACTATAACCGCTACTATTCGCTGACTACATATAATTTTTCGCTATTTTTCAACTCCACTACTGCTCAAATGTTTTAACTAACCACAACTAAGAATACACAAGGTTTTCTTATTTCCGACCTCCCCCCCCTCCCTTCCTGCTACGCTACAATGCCCGCCGTTGCTATTCTACCAAGCCCTGTGACTATAGGTATGACAGCTGCAAAACAGATCTCTTCTTGATAATGAACCAGGCTGTTGTTATTATTATTACAACACGACAAAGCTAACGTTATCATTATCTTCAGAATCCAATAGGTAAAACCCAAATCTTTCTCTAGTAAATATAAAATCCACATTCAATTCAGATCTAAAATTATACACAGGAAAAAAAAAAAAAAAAAAACTTCAATGCAATATTTAAAAATCACTTGGCTTAATCTCCTTCATTAATTTAAATCACCATTACTAATTTAAAAACCCTCGCACTGGTCATTAAAAACTTCACCACTAATTTAAAATCCTTCCCTTTACACCCATCCCTAAATTCTTAACCTTCGCCTCTCATGTCCCTCCCCACCCCCCCGGCCCGTGACAGATCAAAGGACGCCGTGAGCGCACTGCCATGTGTACACGTCTCTGACTCACACAAGGTCGCACATGGTCCTCGCCAGAAATACACATGAGTCAAAAGGCACGTTCACACTCGTGTACGCGTCACCTAAATACACACACACACACACACACCTACTTATATATATACAGTACGTACACCGCTCACACGTATACATACACACTGAAACAAGACACACACACACGCTACGAACAGCGACGGTTGTTGAGAACATAATAAAGTAAACATCAACAACGATTAGATCATGAAAAATAATTAGCAAATACTTCAGACTAGAGGTATAGGAAAGATAAAGGAATGAATGTACTAATAAAATTTACAAACTCCTCAGAAACGCTTTGACAACACCCCCTCCCCCCTCCAAGCCACAACCCCACCGTCTTGAAGTAGAGTAAAAATATGATCAAACACTTACAGTATTACAAATATAACTGTCTCATCTTGGTACACGACTTATATAATGAATTATCCTGACAACTAAACATTCACACTCCGATTTACCGAGATAGTGAGGTACATAAGCACAGTACGTAAAGTCTATAGTTCCTTACAAAGATGTGAAGCCTAGTGTATAGAATTTTAAACCTCTTCAAAATTATCTGATTTATGCCTGACCTAAATGATGATGGCCAATGGGAATGACGTAATCAGAGGCAACTAGAGAATCAACACCTCGAAGGTCTTAAGTGAGGTAAGCCATGGGATTCGACTCCACCTGACGAAGAGAAAGAATAAACCTGACAAAAACTTCTCAGCGCCGCCGCTCCCACCACCCCTACATTTGGCGCCTCTCACCCAACTTTACCTACCGTTAAAAAATATAATTCAATAGACTATAAAAGTTTATATCTTCATTATAATTTAAAAAAAATCATATAGATACACTTCAAGAGTAAAATAAACTAGTGACAGAGACAAGAGTCGGGAAGATGATGATGACGTGGGTAATAGGCTCTTGGCGGGCGAGCGGAGGGAGAGAGTAGTGTTATAAATACAGACGTCGGCGAACCTTTTGATGCTGCCCCAGCCATGCTGAGGCTCTCCGGCAGCGTAATTCACTTTACCGTACATCATATGACTCTCACAGGGGGTAGAGATGGGGGTAGGGGGTAGTCGGGCGAGTTGCCTGTGCAAACTTCAGCGGCGGGCGGGCATTTTTTGTGGTGGTAACGGTCAATCTCAGTCTTGAATGGACCAATTTGTACCTGGGTCATCATCACACGTATTATCAGTATAGCATAATAATGAATAAAAAATTACAGTATATAGTTGTTAGCGAGAGACTCCCCACAATAACACCGCGTAATGGCAGTGTTAACGATGATCAAGTGAGCTTCTATCGTCTATCTCGTGATGGCGGCTAGGTGTGTGACGTCAACAGAAATGTATGTCCAGAAAGATCCAAATTTAATCCTAGCGAAAAAAAAAACAATCTCCCAACATAAAGGAGAACACAGACGCTAATTTTACTCGCCCCGAAAGCATGTACAGAAATATGTGAATTTAAACCACGTTAAAAATCCCCTCAACGTAAAGGAGAACACAGAGGCTAATTTTACTCGCTTCGATCACCAGCCGACCATCTCCCACGTCCCACGCTGTTTGTATCTTTTTCTCTGTGAGGTAAAAAACAAAAGTAAAACGAAAAAGCGAACATACGTGTGAATGAATCACTGTGTCGACTGTGAATCAGCCTCCGAGTATACTACGAGTCCTGGCAGAGCGGCGACGACCTCACCTGAGCTGAGAGAAGGTGTCGCCAACCCTTTTGTTATTGTCAATCAGCTGAGCGACCTCATGGCGGGAAAACCTTTGGTGCTTTAAGGTATGTTCTTATTTATTATTATTATTACTGTTATTTGTATTATCTAGGGGGATTACGTAAATAACTTGTAATAATAAAGAATAAGGAGTTAAATATTATGTAAATTGTAAATTTCTAAATAAAAGATGAGAGAGAGAGAGATCTTACTGTAAAAACTTCCAGTTTTTCGATTACACAGTCGCTTTTGCCTACGGTTGAGAAACCTTACATTATTGAGGCAGCTTTTGAAGACCTCAGCATGTTTGCGTCATACACCGGGGTTTACGGGCCAGCTGGTTCATGGGAAGGATTACACACACCGCACCTGTTGCTGGGAGAATCCTCGCCGGCTTTCGCGTGAATGAGTTTCAGAAATAAAGAGAGAGAGAGAGAGACGTGCACCAGCAGCATCACGTGGTACTTATCCACCACCACCTTCTCCCCAAAACTTTTCAATCGCTGCAAGACGTCTTGTATCCCAGCATCTGGCCCCGGGTAAAACTCTCCCTCTTCCCTCCTATAATAGCCTCAAGTGTAATGTTATGCAGAACAAACAGCGGGGCAGCTCACGGGCGGGGCAGGAAAACTGCTGAGGGGTAGAGGAGGTTGCCAACGGAAGTGGGAGGAACTGGGGATAAGATTACTTAGTGGTGGCCCAGCGGCCCTCCCACACTCCCGGAGGATCACCTAAGGCACTCCTACCTTTAACTGTGCTCTCTTGGAACAGTTTTCGCGATGTGCTCACAGTTAAGATGGAAATATATTTTAACAAAACACGAAGCCTTCTTTACGGGATTGTTTAAGCGGTCCCTTGAAAGAAAACGAGAAGTGGCCCTCGCTGGCACCGTGACGTCACGGGGGCGTCACGCTAGATGCACGCACGTTGCCAAGTGCCAGTCATGGTAATTGGGTGGCACTTTTTTCTACCTCCGTGACACTGGCTTGGTCTTTTTCCCTCACGGTTGTTCCTGAGAGAGGCGAGGTGTTGGTGGGCGGGCGTCCATCACGAGCGGCGGCGCCCCTGGCAAGAGGGTGGTGGGCGGGCGGGCGGGCGGGCGGGGGTGGCAACACCATCAATAAAAAGCAGTAATTCCAGGAAGCGGTCAAGGAGAAGGGTAGGCAGGAAGAGTGCCTTGTTTTGGGTACTGCCGCTACTACTACTTGCGTTACGACTGAATGTATGTCACTTCTATCACACAAAGTACAAACCTGTTGTTATCCCGCTGCTGTTACATTAAGCAACCACTAGTACTACCATCATGGAATAAGTATTGGTACAGTACTATTACAGTTTTCACCTCTATATTCCGTTCTTATATAATGTCCTCCATGAAAAAGAAGAAAAATCAAAACTAAATCCTTCTGTCACGTCCGAATGACTTCCTGCAACGGTTGTAAAAAAAAAAAACTCGTCCGAATCCGCGAGGGGCAGCAGCGTTCGTGTGTGTACCTCTTGATGTGTGTTGGTCTTCCCTGACACCCGGCAATAAACATCACCACCACCACCCTGGGACTAGGGTTCGACCGTTTAAGAAGTGTTTGTATAATGCCAGGCAGGGACTTTTAAAAACTGACGTGTGAGGAGGGGCAGAGGGAGGGGGTAAGCAGAGGTACGAACGTCTGTGTGTGTGTGTGCGAGAGAGAGAGAGAGAGAGAGAGAGAGAGAGAGAGAGAGAGAGAGAGCCCAGCCATGTAAGGGTAAATGTAAGTTATAAGCACGTAAATAAAAATGTACACTTGTAAATAAAAAGTTTTATGTG